CTTATACGAACGAGTAACTTGATGTAACCGACCTTCTTAGCGGATTGACATTTGATGGTGATAGAATGCGGTTGCACAGATGACAGTTCTGGAATTAACCGCAGACGATCATCTCACTCCCCAATCACACTTGCAAACTCTAGTTGGCGTGAAAAATGCCAACTGTTTTGTCTTAGCCAAAACGGCCCCCAATAAAATCTCGCCACGTATTTCCCGGGAATCCGAGGCTCTATTAACGGCCGTTAACTAACCTCACTTCCTCAACCCCATTTTTAAAAAAGCAACGGAGAAATTCGACCGTCGATTCAGCCAGTACACACATCCAACGGTTGGGAAGCTTCGCCGGCAACCAACCAAAAAACCCAACTGGTCAACCGTAGAGGCTTCACCAACCACAACGCTCCACGCGTCGACGACCCATTTCTTCCCTCCGCGACAGCGTAGAAGATCCACCGGATTACCTGGAATCGCCGGTGACCAACCATATACCAATTGTTTTCTCTCTCTCATCGTTTTCTTTTTTCTGTTTTGGAAAAGCTTCTAATTCTCTCTCCCTCTGGGGTTTTCTCCGTTGATCTCGCCGGAAAAGATAAACAAAAGGGCAAAGCACAGAGAATCATCATCGTTACCTGTGAGAATTTCTCTGCTTTTTTCTTCAAAGTTCCCTTCTTTCTGTGAGTTCTTCTGATTTTATCATCATATTCGCTGAAATTCTTCGAGTTTTGATCTGGGTTTTTGGAGAATAGTTCGATTCTGCTTGAGGGTATGGTAAAAATTTTACCTTTTTATGGTTTGGTGATAGCTTAATTAAAGAAAGGTAGTTGAAGAAGAGATTGAGGATTGCTTCGATTTCTTGTTGTTTCTCAGATTTATTATTATTCTCAAGTAACTTTAATCTGTGGAATATATATAAGATCCGTTTATATGGTCATTTCCTGAAGCTTCCAGATGCTTGGTGATTGCTAACTTTTAGGTGTGTTTGTTTGTTGTTGTCTGAAGAAGTTCTATTTCTCATAGATTAAGATTGGTAAATCTCTTTCTGAGGCACCAAGCTTGAGCATTTGCAACCTTTTCTTTAGAATTTTTTCTGATTTCTCCACGATTTGGTCTTTTCAACTTTGCTATAAGGATATTGGAGTAGGGATATCTTCCTGTTCAAGGGTTCTTGAAAATCTTTGATGTATGATTGAAAAGGGAATATGGGTACGGGTATGGATTTTTCATCTCCATCTGGGATAATAGAAGGTAGTTGCAATAAAGACAATATATCAGCCATGGAAAATCAGAACTTGGAGAATTTGGAAAATGTGAAACAAGTCACAAATGGGAAACCTCCACGCCACCTGTCTGCCTCACGAAATTGCATAGGCTCTGCAAGGCTGATTGCTGAGGCTAATTTAGTAAGTTTATTTTTCATATCCCACCCCTTTGTTATGTGGATTTCCAGGATTATGAGCTCTAATGTTTTTATAGAATCATTAAATTCTACCAAGTTGGCATTTTTTACTGCAAGTTTTATCATTACCTCTTTTACACTTTAAAAGTTTGAGGTAGAATTGTTCTTAATTCAAAAAAAAAAAAAAAAAAAAAAAAACCCTCTTTTACATTGTATGCTCATGAAACTTGCAAGTGCACCTTTTTTAACTAGTAAGTGAATTTATTCATGTGTGGAAATTTTAAGGCCTTGCACACCTGCTTTTGAGGAGTCGAAAACTTATTGGTTTCTCAAATTTGATCTGCTTTTAGTTCTCTGAGGGGATAAGGATTCTCCACAGCAAAAGTTTAGATCTGCTCATATATGTTCTTGTCTAGCAAAGTGCTGTGTTGAGGTTACGAGAGTGCAATGTCATCTTGAGCTTATTCTCTACATCATCTTCATTTTTGCCTGTTTTGGCATGAGTAATCTGGAAATAAAGTTAAACTTATAATTCTTATAAACCAGGTTATTCCAAAAAGGTGCTTCCAGATAATTATTTTGTTTTACATCTTTCTTTGTGAAATAAAGAGATTTAATTCTTATCCATGGAATTGTTGGTTGCCTCACATCATTTAAGAAATGTTGCTTGGCTGACTTCTCCTTTTCTCTTTTCTCTAGGAATTGGATGTTGGAATTGTTGTCCATAAGCCGTCTTCTGATGAAAAAACAGAGTTCTTGCCCGTGTTACGATCAGGAAGCTGTGCTGAAATAGGACCTAAACAGTATATGGAAGATGAACACATTTGCATCGATAATCTTGCTGAGTGTTTAGAAGCAACTGTAGAGTTCACTTCTCCAGGAGCTTTCTACGGGGTATGTATGCCAGTTTAATCAGTAAAATTATTTTGTTATCTTTCATCTCATTAGCTATAACAATGGAGTGTGCTGGCTTATTGATGTAGTGTTGGTATGTTCTGTCCCTTTAGAATGTGTGGTTTGGTTGTTAGCTGATATTGAAAGGCACAAGATCTAACTGGCACAACGTCTGCTGAAATTGAATTTTCTTTGTCATGCTTTCTTTTGCACATTTGCATTGCCTCCTTATTGTTTGCTTATTCTTCTGGTACTATAATCTTGACCCTTCCCTTGTTGGCCATAGTTATTAACTGACTTTTCTTAAAACAATTTGGCAGGTTTTTGATGGTCATGGTGGAATAGATGCAGCAACATTTATCAGGAGTAACATCCTCAAGTTCATAGTTGAGGACTCTCACTTTCCAATATGTGTGGAGAAGGCGATTAAGAGTGCTTTTCTTAAAGCTGATTATGCATTTGCAGATGATAGTTCTCTTGATATCTCCTCAGGAACTACTGCTCTCACCGCTCTTATTTTTGGAAGGTAACTGCGCTTTATAGCCTTTTAGATTTTTTTAAATATATATTTATATCCTTGGAATTTAGAGCCTGATAAATAATAATGGTCTGACTGAATTGCCAAGACATCCTTTGGGTCCTTACATCATTTTTCTATTTGCAGGACCTTGATAGTTGCAAATGCTGGGGACTGTCGGGCTGTTCTAGGTAGAAGAGGTAAAGCAATTGAGATGTCCAAAGATCACAAACCCAACTGCACTTCTGAAAAACTAAGAATTGAGAATCTTGGTGGGGTCATTTATGATGGCTACCTAAATGGGCAATTATCCGTGGCACGTGCACTTGGAGACTGGCACATGAAGGGTCCAAAAGGGTCTGCCTGCCCTTTAAGTGCTGAACCAGAATTGCAGGAGGCAGACCTCACCGAGGAGGATGAGTTCTTGATAATGGGCTGTGATGGTCTGTGGGATGTTATGAGCAGCCAGTGTGCTGTGACGATAGTAAGAAAAGAGTTGATGATTCATAATGACCCCGAAAGATGCTCAAGAGAGCTTGTTAGGGAAGCACTTAAGCGGAATACCTGTGATAACTTAACTGTGATTGTCATCTGTTTCTCTGCAGATCCTCCTCCAAGGATAGAAACACCACAATCTCGATTCAGAAGAAGCATATCTGCAGAAGGGCTGAATGTATTAAAGGGTGTGCTAGATGGTAACTCATGAAAAGGGAAATTCTACATGAGTTGTGCACAAATCCAGTTGGGGCTTTCTAATGCTGCGGGGCATTTCTCCTCCACGTTTCTGCAGTTGTGCCCCTTTCTGCGGCTGCATTCAGCTTCATCGAGGAAGACCCCTGTGCTGTAGGACATGATTCTTTTTGAGTCAAAAATCATGTACATCTGAGATAAATTAAGTTGTATTGATCGGAAGGATGCATTGTTCACCTTGCCCTCTTCCTCTACCTCTACCTCTACTTTATGGAGTTATAAAAATGGGAGTCAGAGAAAGACTTCTTCATTGATATTGACGAGGAGGAGAGCTGTACAATATATATATATATATATATATATATATAGGAAATTGCAAAGACGAAACCTAATCTAATTTTGGAAACAGTATATGTAAAATATATATTTACAATTATAACCACTGATCTAGTAAATCTAGTAATTATTGATCTTGTGAATCTAGGAACTCATGACGGGGATTTACTTTCCTTAATATGCCCTCACAAGACGGTGGTGTCATCAACAATTCCGATCTTGGACCACAGCTGGAGAACCAAAGAGAAGACAGAGGCGTAGTGAGACCATCAGCAAGTTGATCATAAGAAGCAATACGAGAGACATGAAGAATGCGTTTATCAACTAAATCTTGAACAAAATGCAAGAAATAATATTCAGCTAAAATGAAAAGCATGGTATATAGAACAAACATGATAATATGGATGCACTTGAATCAAAATGAAATAATATTCAGCTAAAATGAAAAGCATGGTAACCAACCTTGCATTAAAAAATAAAAATGAAAGAAAAACAATCGCAAGGTAGAGAATGCTAGACATACCAGGTTCACATCTGCCTGTGTATGGCAGTGGTTATGTTTCCATACTTCTTCCTCCATATGCTAATTTTTCCACTATTTTTTCAAGAGGGAAAGCTGACGGCATTATTCCTTAAACTATAATTAAAATGAAATTTCCCATTTCTCCTTACCTTCTTCTTCTTCCCCTCTCCCATCAGCTAAAATTTGTCCATCGAAAACCCAAACTTTTTAATACAAATTCCATGTCCTTTCTCCTCCTATTTCTTCCTCCATTACCCCATGAAGCTCTCGATCCCCTCATCTCCATCGATGTCATTCTCTCTCTTTCCTTGTCTCTCTGTTCCTCCATTTTCCTTCCTCTCCTCCGGTTTTCCTAGTGATTTGGGTTCTTTGGCCCACGAATAAAGTAAATTTACTCGTGGATGCAAATTTGGAAAATCTATGGTTGTATTTTTTAGTAAAACTGATTTCATTTCTTCTGTTTTTTTTTCCCAATTACTAGTGAAAATGCCACGTAAACAAACACACTTTGAAATGTACGAGTAAACGCGCTAGATAATAATAATTCATTTGTTATTGATCTGTGCTGAAATAGAAATCATTATGGAGTTTTTTATGCTATAATAGTGATTCATGTTCATTGTAGTAAAATTGTAACTCTGAATAAATTAAAGGAGTTAGAGTTTGTATCAGACATAATAACAGAAAAGGCTACCAAAGATGGTAGTAAAATTAAGTAGAAATAATTTGATTAAAGAGATAAAAATAATTCCAAAGTCATGGGTCAGTTAATTATGTCTAGTCAAAAATAGAATTAACTGAGGCCAGTCCAAGCAATCACTATTAAACCAAAAATAGGAGATAGAAACATAATTCCAGTTAAGCTCATACTATAATTTTTTGAGACAATAACTTTGACTCTAATTTTAGCAAACAAATAGCAGGGTATCGAGAAACTGCATTCCACAAATTAAATATACCAACCGTGAAACAGTCTGATACAAACCAGTT